TTGCGTTCAAAGCAGATTGTGAGGATGTCTCAGGCGGGGCGCTGGTTTCAGCGACCCCAAGGGGAGCCGCCAGGGGTGTTTTCACGGGCCCGTTCGCGGCCAATTTGTGGGAATGCCTCAGGCGGTTTGCTCGTTGTCATGCCTAACATCCTTTGCTGTCAGAGCAGACTGTGAGGATGTCTCAGGCGGGGCGCTGGTTTCAACACCCCTAAAAGGAGCCGCCAGTGGTGTTTTCACGGGCCCGTTCGCGGCCAACTTGTGGGGATGCCTCAAGCGGTTTGCTCGTTGTCATGCCCAACATCCTTCGCTTTCAGAGCAGACTGTGAGGATGTCTCAGGCGGGGCGCTGGTTTCAGCACCCCTGAAGGGGAGCCGCCAAGAGTGTTTTCATGGGCCCGTTCGCGGCCAGTTTGTGGGGATGTCTCAAGCGGTTTGCACGTGCTCATGCCCAACATCCTTAGCTTCAAGAACAGATTGTGAGGATGTCTCTGGCGGGGCGCTGGTCTCAGCACCCCTAAGGGGAGCCGCCAGGGGTGTTTTCACGGGCCGTTCGCGGCCAGTTAGTGGGGATGTCTCAGTTTGTGGGGATGTCTCAGGCGGTTTGCTCGTTTTCATGCCCAAGATCCTTGGCTTTCAAAGCAGATTGTGAGGATGTCTCAGGCGGGGCGCTGGTTTCAGCACCCCTAAGGGGAGCCGCCAGGGGTGTTTTCACGGGCCCGTTCGCGGCCAATTTGTGGGGATGCCTCAGGCGGTTTGCTCGTTTTCATGACCAACATCCTTTGCTTTCGGAGCAGATTGTGAGGATGTCTCTGGCGGGGCGCTGGTTTCAGCACCCCAAAAAGGAGCCGCCAAGGGTGTTTCCACGGGCCCGTTCGCGGCCAATTTGTGGGGATGTTTCAAACGGTTTGCTCGTTCTCATGCCCAACATCCTTTGCTTTCAGAGCAGATTGTGAGGATGTCTCAGGCGGGCCGCTGGTTTCAGCATCCCTAAGGCGAGCCGCCAGGGGGTAGGACACGGGCCCGTTCGCGGCCATTTTGCGGGGATGTCTTAGGCGGTTTGCTCGTTTTCATGATACGAGGAAGGAGATGAGACGTGCTGCTCCCTTGGGTCGTGCTCCGGCACGTAAGAGGGGGAGGGGGAATAAATGGGAGGCTCATATTCAATCATACTCAAAGCTCACTCTGACTCATACTCACCCACTCGCATTACATAGGATTCACTCGTCTTCGTCGGCCCTGCCGCCCATGTGGACGCGCTATCATAGTCAAGCGCTCATGAACAGACGCTCACCTTGGCAGGACATAAGACATGAGATGCACATATGGGTAGCTCCACGCAGTGAGTAATTACTATTTGGGTAAGTGTGGAGGAGGCAATACCGTATCGAGTGGGACATGGGGGCCTGGAGGGGATAGCCATCGAGGAGAGAGCGTGGAACAGAGGATAAGTGGACGGGGGAAGAGACTTGGGGAAGGAATGGGACTGGAAATAAAAACGATTGTACTGGAAGGGGGGTGGGGAGCGGGAAAAAGAAACGAACAAAAGAAAAAGAGGCTGGACATCAGCCGGAATCCTCCCATCCAAAGCTCGACTGCTGACTACTCTCGGTGCTTGTTACTGTGATTCTCCGCTCTCCTGAATCGACGCTTTCTTGGGGGATCGCGGGGCCAGAAGAGCCCCTTGCCCTGCGCTTCCCTCCCGCATCCCTCCAGGGTAGAGGGGAGGGGCAGGGGAAAAGGAAGGGGTGTGTGGTTGATGGCGGGTGAAAGGAGGGAAGAGGCCGTTTGCTCTTTTCCAGCGCAACTTCGGAGCAGACGGAGAAGGAGGAGGCCAGTGGGAGACAACGCGAAAAGCGGCCTTGCAACTGTGGCGCGTCCAGGGAACCGCCTGGCACCATCCAGCCGGTCTGGACTAAGACGCATAGGTCCACGAAGGACGGAGGAGGAGGGGAAGGCAAGCTAGGTGCGCTCGCGTCATATCTGACGTCCTACCCCTTCCTCCCATCCCTTACCATGGCGTAGACATGCCCTCTATTCGCACAGACGGATGTCGAGCAGGGCAAAGATCGCGAGAGGGTACGCGATGTATGGTAGAGCACGGCATGGTATGGCGTAGAAGAGCACGGCAGAGCGGGTCATGCCATACCATGTCGTGGCATTGCGCAGTGAAGCATCGCATTACAAAGCATTGCAACGCAAAACATGGCATCGCACAGCGGCGCAGAACACAACAACACACAGCATGTCATGGCGCCAGGTTCAATGTCTAGCTCCTTGGGCTCCCCGAAAAGCTCCACACAAGACAGGGCTGATGGAGAGCACCCGCTAGCTCTGCTTTCAACACCGCCTTCTCAAAGCAGAAACGCGGCTCCCGCTTCATGCTTCCTGAAACCGACGACGCCCCAAAGTGGGGGGGGGCCTCTGCGGCCCAAAGAATCAGCGAATCGACACCGAATGTCTAATCACTTCGGATGGTTTTTTCGGGGGGGGCATTTTCTAGATTTTGGGCTTAATTCGCTATCTCGAAGGACCTAAAACGCCCGCGCTGCAGCGGGAACACGATTTGGAACAACCAGAAGCGCAGAGATGGGGCCAGCGCTTCAGCGGAAGCAACACATTGAAAAACCCAAGCGAAAGCCCAACTCCTGGGAATCCCGTGTAAGGAAACAGTACGTGGAGAGGGGCAGGACATCTTCCGGACGTCATCAGGGGAGAGAGGAGAGCAGTATTCATATTGTGTAGTTGTACAGACAACAGACGCATGGACGGATGACGGATGTAGGATGATAGAAAGGAAGACACCGCCGAGCTGGTGTGGGAAACAGACGCTGGGATTGCCAGGAGGCCCGAAGGGGGGAGGGCACGGCCTGCCACGACCGGCGTGTACACAACGCTACAGTTGGCACTGTCTTGCCGGCCTGGACTGCAATATACTGCGATTCCTCCAGGGGAGGGCGGATGAGTAAAGGACGCACATTCGCAGCGAATCCGCGCGCAACAAGTGAACCTTGGAGCACGGCGGCGCCTCTCCACCCAACAGTGCATACCCATCAAGCGAGATTTGCGGCGAGCGGAGGGGAACTGGGGGGAGGAAACAATGGTGGACCAGGAGGGGAAGCCAGACCAGATAACCACGCAACTGCAGGCCGCTTGCAGAGGCCGAACAGCCAAGCCTCACGACGCTTGTAGGGGGGGCGACGGCGAGGAAGAGGCAGGCGGAGGAGGCGAACTGTCGGCCGTCTTGCGGGGCTAGCCAAGATTCCGCCTCCAGGAGACAAGCGCTGCAGGAAAGACAAGAAAAAGGGAGTGCGCGCGGCCCGGTTGCAGCCAAGACAGGCTCTTGACTACTCAGGCACAGCTGCGCGGCGATTGCTGACAGAAGGGGGCAAAAGCGAGGATCCGTCGGACGCCGCTCTTCCAACTCGCGCCGGCGAGGGCCGACGCAGACCAGTCACGCAGAGCCCAACAGCATTCAAAACGCACGGGAATCTCGGTTGCCCTGGCAAGGGCGCAGGATGCGAGCAGAGCGAGAGAGAGAGAGAGAGAGAACGAGAGAGAGAGAGGGGTGCGTGCAGCGTGTCCGCGCACCACTGACTCGAGTCCAAGTCTGGGCTGCGTCGCGCACCCGAAGCGTCCAGCGTCCGCCGCGGCGGGGCCAAGCCCGCGCAGGCAGGGTGCTCGGTGCATCGCAGACGCCCGCAGGCCGCGAAAGCAGCCGCGCCGGGGTCACTCTGCAAGCCGAAGTCCGAAGCGAAGGCACGGTGAATGGCAGGTCGCCAGTGCGGACAGGTGTCTGGGCCTAGCTGCTAGCTAAGACCAGGTGGAGGAAGCCATGGCCTCCAAGAATATGGTATCTACTGTGTCGCGCAAATAAAACAAAATTTGCGAAAACTGGGGCCGCGAGGACCGCCTGGGGCCGCGAGGACCGCCGCGTCGGGGTCGCTGCAAGCCGACGTCGATCCCGACGGAATCCGCACGGCGGGCTCCAGGCGAGACCCCGGCGGCTGCAGCCCGAGCTCCACTGCGGCAGCCGCTGCGTGCGTGGAGTGGCAGCCGCCGCAGTGCTCCAACGAGCCGAAAGCGTTCGCAAAGCAGCGGAAGAGGCGGCCAAAGAGGCCCTCGCGGCTCCGAGTGCGGCGCGCTGTCGGCAACTTGGTCTGCTGGCTCGCCAACACGTTACCCCAACACGGGGCTGAGCTCCCTTGCCAAGGGTCCGCCCGTGCTGGGGCCCATGCGCAGTGCGCACACGGGGAGTGGACCCACCTGCCACCGGCCCGCCTATTGACTGATGCGGGGCTTCATACCTCCTCAACGCGCGTCCTGCATGCCCACTGCAGCCCAGCGTTGAGACTGCCGTCGGGCAAGTCGAGCCTTAGGTTGAGCGAGCGGCCTCGCGGCGACGCCACCCAGGACGTGTGACGCCACCCGCGTCGCGGTCACTCCCAATGCCCTGCGCTTCACAACGGCGTTGTTCAGAAGGAAGACCATGTCGAACCACTCGGCCTACGCTACGGAGAGAACGATGTTGCTTGATATTGGAAATGATTCGAACGGCACTCGCGAAGCTGACCTGCCCTTCCACTGACGTGAAGACCGCCTGATGCACGAAATTCCAAGCGCGCGACGCGCGCAATTTAACCGCCAACTTCCACACCTGCATGTCCACAACACCGCGCGGGAAGCTGAGCCTGTGAAGCTGCCAGAATTCAAAGGAGAGGCCCACAGCAAGGAGCCAGGAACAAGCAGTCCGAATGCCCTCGACTCGACCCCCCCCAGGTGGGCGGCAACGTATCCAAAGTCGACAGGGGGGAGGAGGAGCAGCTCGGAACAGGTAGCGTGGAGGGAGAGAGGAGGGCGGACGTCTGGAGCAGGGAGGAAATAAAGAGGGGTGAGAGGACGGGAAGGGGAGGGGGGAGGGGGATAATGATGAGGGAGGAGATGCGGAAGGGGTAGACAGAACGAGGGACGGACGAGGGAGGACGCAGGGCGCGGCGATGCTGCCATGACCAAATTCTGGACGTTGACCAACAACGTTATTAGGTGCACGTAGCCGAACGGAAGAGGGGTGTCCAGGTACATGTTCATGACCTGTACGAGGCGGAACAGAAAGACGAGGAGGACATAGGGCTAGTGTCAACATCCCAGCAAGTCCTCTGGGCCCAGGCAGTTTAGCGCGCTTGTCCTTCCATTGTGACATAACATGCCGCCAGCCCTCTGGGCGTAAGTGGTTTAGCGAGCTTCCTCTTCCAGCTTCCCTCTTCCCCTTCGTGGAAGGGTTCACCCCTCCACCTGACCCCCCCCGGGTTTGAATGGGGCGTTCCGCGAGGTGTCAGAAGTTTTTTAAATTGTGATATAAAAAATGGCCGCCTTGGCGAGGAGGCCAACATCATTGATTGTATAAGAAGTGTTGGCCACATGTTGGCCTCCTGGGGGTGAGGGCGTAAAGGAGGAGCCCTGCTGTGATCGATCTCCTGTGAAATGGCACCCGAGGCTCCCAAGGATACCTCAAGATGGCCCACGAGGTGCCGAGGAGGCCTCCAGGGGCCCCCAAGAGGCCCCCAATATGCCCCCAAGAGGCTCCCAAGAGACCCCCAAGAGGCCCCCCAGAGGCACCAAAGTCGCCCCAAGGGACCTCGACGAGAAGGCCCAAGTGTTGGCCACATTTTGGTTTCCTTGGGAGGGGACTCTGATGTACTACGGCCTCTCCTTTGATCGATCTCCTCCAGGATGGCCCCATGGCTCCAAAGGGTACCCCAAGACGGCCCCGCGAGGTGCCGGAGGCCCCAAGAGGCCCCCGAAAAGGCCCCCAAGCTGCCCCCAAAATGTTCCCACGAGACCCCCGCCCCGAGAGGCCCCCCAAAGGTGCCGAGAACGGACGCCCCAATGGGCCCCCGGGATTGCCAAGAGACCCCAAAACGCCCCAAAAGGACTCCAAGAAGCTCCCGGGTATGACGTCTTACCCAGCCCTTTCTTCCTCTGCGTGCTCCTCCACATCCCTGACCAGAACAACTCGTCTGGATGGGCTGGCGTGGTTAATGCGGGATGGCGATAAATAAAAACATGGGGGAGAACAATTAAAACATGGTTTTCTGCTATTTCTGCACAATTTTCTAACTGGAAGAGAACGATTAAAACATGTCGTGTTCAAAAAAATTACACTAAACGAGTGAGATCAAAACCCTATTAACAGAACTGAGCCACACACTGTTTAGGAAACCACCATTCTCAACATTTCGACGCAAACTAGGCTGAACATATTTCCGGAACGGCACTACAACTCAAAACACCCAACACAATACAGGCAGACAAGACACATGTCATCATGACGCACCAAGCGCGGCAAACACTCAAACCAGTGATCAGCACACGAACAAACATTTAAGTCGGCATTGACGTTTCAATACAACACAACTGAGACCTCACAAAACAAAACCGCAACGCAACGCACATAAACAACTACGCACCAACAACAATAATTACCGACACAAGTACACAATAACTAAACACATTACCAAACATGTCACAGTACAATAGAATAATCAGCTCATATGCAGGTCCACTTTGACATGCCTTGTTCTTAACAATTAATGAAAATCTTCAAATAAATCAACCCACGCTACTGAACCACGAGACTCTTCAGGAAACCGTTGCACTGAAAATATTAACGCAAACTAGATTGAACATATGTGCTTCTAGACGGCATGGCCAAAACCTGAAACACAAAACGCCCGACGGAACACACGCAGAGAAGACACATAACACGCATGACGCGGCAAACACCAAATCAAATCAGCAACATGAAAACGGAAACTAAAATTGACATTTTACGTTTCTGTACGGCACAACCAGAATCTCGGAATGCAAACACCGAAGCAACAGACACACACATGGCAAATGCAACGCCAAGAAAGTACAACCGACAAAACAGCAGACACCAACTCAACACATTAACAAATACGCCGCTGTGAAAACATGCCTCATCTGTGTGTTAACTTTCTATTTTTTTCTAAAAAGAATTAAAAAGTCAACCCATGCCACTGAAACATGACACTCTTCAGAAAACCATCGACCTTCACGAAAACCGAACGCACCTATGCGCTTCTGGACGGCATGACTAAAACCTGACACACAAACATACGCAACATCCGCAGACAACATAAATAACACGCATGGCGAGGGAACCACGACAACACATCGTCGACATGAAACAGAAAATTTAACAGGGCATTGACGTTCCTGTACGGCACAGCAGGGACTTCGCAATGCAAACACGCAACACAACAAACATACTCATTGCAAACACGACACGCAAAATATGATAACCGACACAACGACACAGGAACTTAACACTTAAAAAGACTCTGCTCTAGAATGCAACGAAGGCCTATCTGTAAACATATTTTCTAATATTTGTTCTTGACGTTTAAGAAAACATATTGGCAACGTCGTCCCTAAACCACACTATAGACTTAACTAAAACCATGCGTTCCTGGACGGCATGACGACCCCGCAACAGAAAATGCATAGCGCAACATATACATAAACACAGAACACGCAAAGCGGGCACACGCCCAAATTAGAAGTTTCTGTACGGCGCAACCGATCCTCGCAAAGCAAACGCGCAGACGAACGAAACTTTAATCTAACCGTGAGGAAACACACCACGTAAAGACAACACGTACAAACGGTACGTAAACGTGAGAAAAAAACAACAACACGTAAAACCATTACGTAAAAACAACACGCAAACACCGTACGTACAACCAACACGTACACAACACTAAAACAACGCGTGAAAACAACGAATAAAAACAATACGTTAACACACTACGTTAAAACCACACGTGATCACACGCGTAAGCATTACGCAGACACAACGCGTAATGCACGTGAGAATTCGTTCAACCCACGTAAACCAACAATGAAAAACAACGCGTAAAACAACACGCAACACAACGCGTGCGAGCAACACGTAAATCAATAAGTACATGCAACGATAATTTTAACCTGACCGTGAGGAAAACAAAACGTAAAACCCTACGCAAACCAACATGTAAATAATAAACATCACGTCAAACCAACACATCAAATCAACACGTAAAAACCATACGTAAACAAACAAGACGTAAACAATCCGTAACCAAACCATATGTAAACGTGAAAAGAAAACAACACGCAAACACAATACGCAAAAACAAAACGTAAAACAATACGTACAACCAACACGTAAAACACGTAAACACAATATATAAACCAAGACGAAACAACAACATGTACACACACTATGTAAAAACAATACGTTAAAACAACACGTGATCACAACGCGTAAACACTACGTAAGCACAACGCGCGATACACGTGAAAGTTCGTTCAACCCACGTAAACGCACGTAAAAACACAAAACACAACGCGTAACACAACGCGTAACAACACCACGTTACGTAGTTTTGATTATTGTTTTTACGTTTTTTTCTCGTCGTATGTTTTTTACATATTGTTTTGACATTTTGTTTTGCTTTCTCGCGTTCACGCATTGTTTTACGCATTGTTTTCTGTCCCGCAGTTAACAATTATTTTCTTACAGTTAAGCACTACCAGTCACAAGAACACATAGAGATAAACGAATCACTCGGAAAGCTTATTGGATGGCTCAGGCTCCGGCTCGATCTGGAGCTTCGACACGACCTCAGCTCGAACGAATCCTACGCGCATTCGGCTTTGGGCTTCTGCTCGGACCCAGAAATAAGGTGTGTCGCTGGTGTCCCCGTTTACGTCGATTATATGCATCATCACCCAAGACATGATAACGCCACCGGCAATAAGAACAATATCGAATCGGAACCAAAGGTCCTGAAACGTGCATTACATCGGCTTCTGTACGCAATAAGGCCTCAATCGGAAATTCGAAGAATATCGAGCGCAGCCAACGTGCGACAACCATGTCGTGCCCATTCAGACGAAGCTGCAGTGCGACTCCGATTACCATACAAATCACAACGGTGACCGGAAGTCATGACAGCGTTCAAATATGCACTGTGACGAACAATATTGATCTGGCGCCGTGCCAACTGCCACCAATGAACGTCCTCGGCCCTCAAATCATGGATCCATTTTTTTTTAAGAAAAAAAGAAGTTGGCATGTGCTTCATTACGGCATTCCGACGGCTCAACACGGCCCAAGAGGCCCCCAAGATCGCCCACGAGGCCTCCAAGATGGCCCCATGAAGGCCCAAGGGGCCCCCGCGACGGCCCCCAAGAGGGCCCAACATGGCCCCCAAGACGGCTAACATGGCCCCAAGATGCCTCCCAGACGGCCCAATATGCACCCAAGACGGCCTAAAATACCCTTAGGATGGCCCAAGACGGCCCAAGAGGCCCCCAAGAGGCATCCAAGACGGCCCTAGAGGCCTGCAGGAGGTCCTCCAGGAGGGCCCGAATATACCCAAAGAACTGATTGTTGGCAATTTTCGGTAAGTTTTTAAAAGGATTTTGGAATTTGCTTCTTTTCGGCATTCCGACGGCCCAAAAGGCCCCCAAGATCGCCCCAAGATCGCCCACGAGGTCTCCAAGATGGCCCCACGACGGCCCAAAAGGCCCCCAAGACGGCGCCAAGAGGGCACCAAAACGGCCCAAGAGGCCCCCAAGAAGTCCCCAAAGCCCTCCAAGAGGCCCCCGGGAAGCTCCCAGAAGGCCCCAAGAGTGCCCCACGAGGCGCCCAAGAGGCATCCTCCTCCTCCTCCTGCTCCTCCTCCTTTCTCCTGATCCTCCCCCTCCTCCTCTTCTTGCTCCTGAACGATCGGCATGGTAAAAATAATGTGTCCCACGATGGTCAAATCCCAGCTCACGTGCTTCACTGACAATTTAGGCTTCCAGCGTCTCAATGATACGGATCGCCGATCTCGCCCGTCAGAGTCTCCGCTTCCTTCCGGCACCTTGAACTGCGGGAGCTAGACGCCCGCAGGCGCGCCGCCAGTTCTTCGGGCGGTCCGCGGAAAAAAAAAACACAGTTCATCTGAGTCTGCGTGGGGCGCCACTGCGCTGGACCCCCAGCAGCCCTCGAAAGTGGCGACAGTCTCGCAGTTCGCAGCCTCCCTGGGATGGTGAGGTCGAATCTGACGCTGGCCCACCAGATGCCTCTGAAAGTGGCGACGGCTTTGCAGATCGCAGCCACCCCTGGATGGTAAGGTCTAATGTAAGCCTGTGTGGGACGTCAATCCGCTGGATCCCCCAGCATCCCTTGAAAGCGGAGCTTGTTTCGCAGATCGCAGCCCCCAAGGATGGCCAAGTCTAGTGTAGGTCTGCGTGGGACGTCGCTCCGCTCGACCCCCTGGCAGCCCTTGGAAATGGCGAAGGTTTCGCAGATCGCAGCCCCCCAAAGATGGCGAGATCTAGATTAAGTCTGCGTATGACGTCACTAAGCTGGACCCCCTCCAGCAGCCTTCAAAGTGGCGACAGTTTCGCATATCGCAGCCCGCCCAAGGGATGGCGAGGTCTAATTCAACTGCGTATGACGTCACCCCCTGGACCCGCAGCAATTCTCGAAAATGGCGTCAGTTTCGCAGATCGCAACCCTCCAGGGATGGCGAGGTCTGGCTTAGATCTGCGTATGACGTGACTTCACTGGAACCTCTAGCAGCCCTCGACCTCGACAGTGGTGACAATTTCGCAGATCGCAGCTCCCCAAGGATGACGAGGTCGAACTTACGTCACTCCGCTTGACACCCCAAACAGCCCTCGAAAGTTGCGACAGTTTCGCAGCCTCCCAGGGCTGGCGAGGTCGAATGTAGGTCGGCGTCTGACGCTATCCCGCTGGACCCCCCAGCAGCCTTCGAAAATGGCGACAGTTCCGCAGATCGCAGCCGCCCCCCCACGCCCCCGGGATTGCGAGGTCGAGTCTGAATCTGCGACGAGTGCCCGCTGTGCCCCACGTGTCCCTCGAAACCGGCGGCTGTTTCGCAGATCGCCGCACCCCAGAACGGCGAGGTCTAATCTGAGTCTGCGGCGAGTGCCCTCTATGCTGCCCCCCCCCAACAGCCCTCGAAAGTGGTGACAGATTCGTACATCCCAGCCTCCCAGGGATGGCGAGGTCGAATCTGAATCTGCGGCGGGTGCCCACGATGCTGCCTCCCAGCATCCCTCGAACGCGGCGACTGTTTCGGAGATCGCAGCCCCCAGGGACGGCGAGGTCGAATCTGAATCTGCGGCGAGTGCCCTCTATCCCCCCAGCAGCCCTCGAAAGCGGCGACAGTTTCGCAGATCGCAGACCCCCAGGGATGAAGAGGTCTAGTCTGAATCTGCGGCGGGCGCCCACTATGCGCCCCCCCCACCCCAGCATCCTTCGAAAGTAGCTATAAGTTCGCAGTTCGCAGCCCCCCAGCGATGGTGAGGAGGCAGGGTAGCAGGTAAGTATGAGACAGTGCAGCAGGCAGGCAGTAAGCAAAGTAGAAGGCAGGCAGCAGGGAAGCGGGAGGAGTGTGCGACCGCAATGCTCTATTCAAAACGAAAGCCCAACGCAGGAATGCTGGGAAAACAGACATACGCAGTGCTCCGCTGCGTGCCAATGTAACAAGGGTAAACGCAACACACACAGCGTTTTGTGGCACCGAGGGCGCCAGACGTTAGGTCCTCCTGGTTTGGGAAGCTCAGAGCAGTGTGCTGGGGGGGGCAATGGTGAGCTCCTAAGCTTCCAACCAAGCCCAACAAACAACACCGTGTATCCATAACGTTTTGCTGCTTCCCAGGCCAACAGAAACGAGCCAACACACATACGCAGCCTTCGCGAGGATGCCTATAGTATGGGATTATTGATAAGGAGTTTCTATTGCGGATGCCTGTGTTAAGGAATCCTTCGTACAGCGTGCAGGTTCACTGAGAAAAGGAATCCTTAGGAGGGGCCGTCAGCCAGGATCGCAACCTAAGGAATTCCTTGCACAGAAAACTTAAGCGGATGAGCGAAGCGATTGTGCAATTTCGTGCAGCAGCCGATTCTGCGGCTTCGTGCTTTGAACGTGTTTGGGGTCGCTGGGGGGGAACCGAGCTAGTATGGACAGACCCATACACGCATGCCTAGAAGCCTACGTACCTACATACAGTCGGACTCGATTGGAGAGGACACACGAGAGGACACAAGACTCTTCCGAGGGCCACGTTGCCGCAGAAATGCAAGAAACATGGGTCGCAAGACACAGGACACTAAGGTACCCTTGATCTGGCAAGGTCAACCTACTAATCCGGGCCGCCTGTACCTGCATACATACATGTCTGTATCTCATGCCTCCCAGACTGCGCACGCCCACCTGTCTGTCTCTCGTCGCCCCTCTCCTCTCGTCACGGGACTTTCCGCCCCCACCCGCCCCTCCCCGCTCCCCGTCTCTCCGCTCACCTGCCCCCTCGTCCCCCTCCCGCCACCAATACTTTTCGTCCAGACTGCTCTTCTTCCGCGCTCTGCACACACCCATGGGCTGCAACACGGCAATTACCCTCACTGCTGGTGGCTCTGGTGTAACGGGATTGGCGCAAGAGGAACTGGCAGAGGAGAACGCCATCTCGTGTCACTCACTCTCCAATCGGCTCCCCCTCTCCCCTGCCTCCCCTTCTCCAATGCTGCTCCCTCGCGCGCCCTCTGGCGGAGCCCAGGGCGGCCGACCAGCATGCCGTCTGGGGGAGCGCGTTTTTGCAAGCTGATGTGCTCTGACGCTGAGGCTTGCCGGCCGTCGGGGCTGAGCACAGCCGAGGATGGGGGAAGGAGGAAAGGCCAGCACTAAGTCGGGCGTGTCCCCCTGCAGGGGGATTTTCGACGAGAGAAATAAAACATACTCAAAACATGCTCCAAAATGGTCAAACAATACTTTAAACAAAAACATCCCCAGACAATTTGTGTTAGGAATAAGTGCCCCGGGCAAGCCCATGGACCCGCATCAAAAGAGGGGATAAGGGGCAGACAGCGGCAGGACAGCAGGCCAAGCGCAGGAGACAGCAGGGATGGGGAGACAGCCCCTCCGGAAAACATTCGACGCTCTCCCCCTCTACCTCCCCCCCCTCCTCCTCCTCCTCCCTCCTCCCCCCTCCTCCTCCTCCTCCTCCTCCTCCTCCTCCTCCTCCTCCTCCTCTCCTCCTCCTCCTCTCCTCCTCCTCCTCCTCCTCCTCCTCCTCCTCCTCCTCCTCCTCCTCCTCCTCCTCCTCCTCCTCCTCCTCCCCCTCCTCCTCCTCCTCCTCCTCCTCCTCCTCCCTCCTCCTCCTCCTCCTCCTCCTCCTCCTCCTCCTCCTCCTCCTCCTCCTCCTCCTCCTCCTCCTCTCCTCCTCCTCCTCCCCTCCTCCTCCTCCCCTCCTCCCTCCTCCTCCTCCTCCTCCTCTCTCCTCCTCCTCCTCCCCTCCTCCTCCTCCTCCTCCTCCTCCTCCTCCTCCTCCTCCTCCTCCTCCTCCTCCTCCTCCTCCTCCTCCTCCTCCTCCTCCTCCTCCTCCTCCTCCTCCTCCTCCTCCCTCCTCCTCCTCCCTCCCCCCCCTCCTCCTCCTCCTCCTCCCTCCTCCTCCTCCTCCTCCTCCTCCTCCTCCTCCTCCTCCTCCTCCTCCTCCTCCTCCCTCCTCCTCCTCCCTCCTCCTCTCCTCCTCCTCCTCCTCCTCCTCCTCCTCCTCCTCCTCCTCCTCCTCCTCCTCCTCCTCCTCCTCCTCCTCCTCCTCCTCCTCCTCCTCCTCCTCCTCCTCCTCTCCTCCTCCTCCTCCTCCTCCTCCTCCTCCTCCTCCTCCTCCTCCTCCTCCTCCTCCTCCTCCTCCTCCTCCTCCTCCTCCTCCTCTCCTCCTCCTCCTCCTCCTCCTCCTCCTCCTCCTCCTCCTCCTCCTCCTCCTCCTCCTCCTCCTCCTCCTCCTCCTCTCCTCCTCCTCCTCCTCCTCCTCCTCCCCTCCTCCTCCTCCTCCTCCTCCTCCTCCTCCTCCTCCTCCTCCTCCTCCTCCTCCTCCTCCTCCTCCTCCTCCTCCCCCTCCTCCTCCTCCTCCTCCTCCTCCTCCTCCTCCTCCTCCTCCTCCTCCTCCTCCTCCTACTTCTACTCCGACGACGACGACGACGACCACGCTGACTGTTCAGGCTAAAACGACGCGAAGATCGAGACCAAATCGGATCGGGATAACTCGAAATCTCTGAGAGTCGGCGGGTTTGGAGGATGTATTGGGCGCCGCGGCCGCTCCCAGAGCGTTCCGGAGCGCTCCGAGAGCGCTCCGGAACGCTCTGGAGCGATTTATCCCGATCCTAGCCCTGTTTTATTCAGGCCCCCGGGGGCGGATTCGGGCGTGCAAGCTTCAGGGGTTGGCGAGGCCTCGAGCGAAGATACCCGGCGCAGCAGCACGGCTGGCACTCCCGGCATGGTGGGCAGCGTAGCCGGCAGCACAACCTGCACGCCACGAGGAGCGACAGACCCAGACCTGCGCAGTAGTCACGAACGTCTCATCAACCCGTGCTGCTCCTCCTCGCCTGGCTCGTGGATTTCCTTCCCCTCCATTCTCTGGGCTCTCACCTCAAATCCTTTATGTCCCCCTCCTGTTCTCCCACATGGTCCTGCCCAGCAGAAGCCACAGCACGACACGTGCGGCGCGGACAGATCTGCAGACTGCAGCGTGGGGCCCGAAGGCGGGAGGGGCCACCACCGCGCGGGGCCGAGCATCCGTCGATCATACGCGTACCGGCTCACAAATGCACGGCGCGGGACTGCTCGCCATGGCAGATGTCTCGAGGCGTGACGCCCACTGACCAGAAGCCCGCACTTGTGTGGGAGATGGGTGTGGCCGCGCAGATGGAGAAACACTGCTCGATGGAGAAAGCTTCTCTTCGGCGTGGGCATGGATGCGGCCAAGGATGCGGTTGCGGCTGCGAGCGCGGGTATCCTCAGAGCGCCATGAGGGACAACACCAGGGCCCTCCGGAAACTCTCGGTGAGGCGCAGTTCGCGAACGAACGAATCCTATCCATCCATCCCTCCTTCACGTGCTCCCCCCCCTGCCCTCTCGAGCTCTATCCCGTCTCCTTCCTCCACCCTCTCCCCTCTCCGTCCCTACCTTCCTCCATCTCCCTCCTTTTCCCCTCCCCCTTCTTCCTCACCTGTCACGGTCCCCTCCCATTGAGGGATCAAACAACGACCCTACCCTGGGTTACAAGTGCGTGGTCTGTAAACCTCCTGGGAACCCCCAAAGCCTAGAGCCGCCATGACGCGGCACATCACGCAGGGTTTACCCTGTCAGCCCACGGGAGTTTCAGCGCACAGCGCCTCGTAAACCAGGGTAGGGGCGTTTTTTTGTGCCCTTGATCCCAGGCTGTGTCCAACCCCCCTCCCTCCCTATGGCGCTAGCTCCACGGCGCTCCTTTGGCGGCCAGGCACCGCTTCATGACCTCGGTGGTGCGGGGCGCGGCGGTGCGGTTGTAGTCCTCGGCCCGGCAAGGACCCCCCCCCCTTTGCTGCACCGGTCTCCGTTCCACAATCGTTCCCACCATTCCTCTCTCCATCTACGACTCAGTCTCCACATCCTCCCCCACACTCGTATTCCTCGTCCTGCCCCTCTCCTCCACTCTCCTCCCGCAGATGAACATACAAGTCGAAGCCTTCAAGCTTCGCCCCCCCGCCCTGCCCAGGTTCAAAGTCGGTCCCGGGCATGCGGCAGCACAGGCGTGAGAAGACAAAAGACAGATTGAACCTCCAGGGCCTCCGCTAGGCCCGGCCCGACCCACCTTTGAATCTGGGGGGAAGGGGGGGGACACACAAGGTCGAACGACGTGGTTCTACCTTTTGGTCCCCCTTACCGTCCCTGGCGGCTCCACCGCTATAAAACATAGTGAGGGCCGTGCAGACCAGAGGGAGGACTCCCGTAACACATGTGAGGACTGTAAGGACCGAGAAAAAAATCGTTTGTTCTATCCTCACTCTTCTCACGGCCCTCACATTACTCCAGATTTCGTAATAAAGGGAGGGGGTCTCATTTCGGGGGGGGGCCTCTTCCAGGCTATCTTGGAGGGCATGGGGGGGTCTGGGGACGATGTTTTGGAGGGTTCTCCCCCGGGGGGGGATCTGAAATGGCTTGTCTTGGAGGGTCCAGACCCCCTCCCTTTTATTACGAAATCTGGAATATGTAAAGCAATCCTCACTCCGGTCCTCACGGTCTTCACGGCCCTGGCAGGCGTTCGGACTCTGCAGGCCAGACCCCTCTCTCATGAGAGCCCCGTCAGCACCACGATAGGGCAAACAGTTGGGCACCCCAGGGGGGAGACACCAGGGACCGTGCCTGGCGGCTTCGCCGCTGTAGAACACGTGAAGACCGTGAGGACCAAAGTGAGGACTGCCGTGGGGCATGTGAGGACCGTGGGGACCAGGAAAGCAGAAAGAGGAGGGGGGATTCTTCTTCCACGCTCCTCACGGTTCTCACGTTTTGACGGCAGTCTTCACTCCAGTCCTCATAGTCCTCACGGGCCTGGCAGGTTTTCGGACTCTGCAGGCCAGCCCCCTTCCTCTTGAGAGCCCTATGCGCACCACGATAGGGCAGCCGTGGCAGTTGGGCACCCCCAAGAGGTGACACCAGGGACCGTAGATGGAAACAAAGGTGGAACCCTTCACTCCCCCCCCCCTCCCCCCCCAGATTCAACGTTGGTCCTAGGCGTTCGGCAACACAAGCGTGAGAGGACAAAGAAGTGAAACCCCAGGGCCTCCGCTAGGCCCGACCCACCTTCGAATCTTCGGGGAGGGGGGTGACGAACACGGTGTCGAGCACGAAGGGGTTATATCTTTTTGCGCCTTACCGTCTTCGTCCAAGTTCTTTACCCTGCCTCTTCCTATGACCCTTCTTCAATTTCTGCCTCCCCCCATCTCGCTTGAACTTAGTGCCGCGCAATGACAATGTCATCGAAGAGCGAACGGCACATCGTTCATGAACAAACGGCCGCTCTGTCGAAGATGCTTGGCGACGGCTTGAAGCGCCCGCACGAACCCTCATTGCTGCTCCCATACTCGATCCTCTTCTCCGTGGATGGAAGATCGGCCCACGATCGCACAGCCTCTGCGATGTGCAAACGATTCGATCGATCATCAATCGAGCCGTCCGCGCAATCGAACCGAAAAGGAATCGAGACTCGATCAAACTAACACGGGAGACGCCCCCCGAAGCGCGTGGCCCGCCCGCCCCCTTGAGGGGAAGGGCGTATGGAGAAACAGATCAAGAAGGAGCAAAATGTATCTCCCCAATCAATGCTGGCACCGAAAAACAAGATATGTCGAACATATAAGACCAATGATACCAGAGAAAAACCCAATCCGGTTTTCGTTTGGGCTATGGGGCTATAGGACTACAGGGCTATAGGGCTATGGGGCTATATGGCTATGGGGGTATTGTGCCATAAGGCTATTGGGCTATGGGGCGATATGGGCTATAAGACTACAGGGCTATAGGGCTATAAGGCTCTAGGGCTATAAGGCCACATGGGCTATATGTGCTGTTTGGCTATTGGGCTATAGAGCTATAACGCTATAGGGCTACATGGCTATAAAATACCCGGACACCCCTGGGCAGCTCCGGGCACCTTCGAGCACCCGGGCACCCGGGCACCCACGGGCACCCGGGCACCCGGGCACCCGGGCACCGGTCACCGAAATCCTGCGACACCGGGCCCCCACGGGCACCCGGGCACCCGGGCACCCGGCCGCCGGCCACCAAATCGGCGCCGCACCTCACATAACCATATGAATCCGCTAGGAGCCCTACAGAGGCAAACTCTGATTGGGAAATATCGGTTGGCGACCGGGTTCCCGGGTTTCCGGGTCTGGCGAAAAAAGCCCAGGCGTTTTCGGTGGGCGGCCGGGTTTCGGCGTGCGGGTTCCAGGCCGAGTTCCCTGCACTGTACGGATGCCAGGCTCTCGAGTTTTCGTTACGGCTCAGCTCCAAGCTCTCTGCCCCTGGAGCATCGGTACCCTGGAACAGCACTCGGACACCGCAGCCCTGCGCCCTTGCAGGCTCGCACTGAACAGTCCGGACTGCCTCTTAACAAGACTCCATTTGGAGCCTGGGACGCTGCACCAGCTCTTGGACACGTTCATCCTGCCCTGAGTGCGCCCTCCGCCGTGCCCTTCTCTGCGATCCTATCCCCCTGCCCGCGCATTGGTGCCGATTAGCTTTCTTGGCAGCCCCGCCTAGCTATGTGTAGATTTTTTGCAGGCGCCAAGACCGTGACAAAGCATGGATTCGCTGCAGCGAAATAGCCGGGTCTTTGCGACCACGGCCATCATAAGGGCACATGCTAGAGGGTACAGAGTAGTAATCCAAAAAGTAGAGAGCAGAGTTGAATACAGAGAATAGGAATACGTAGTAGAGAGTAGACACCAGAGCAAATTAAGAGGGTATACGAAGTAAGCATAATAGACATATATGCATACATACGTAGCACCCCGTAATTGCTGATAAGGAGTGAGGGGGCGGCGGGGACGTCGGCAGTCTGCGAGGCAGTGAAAAAGCTCGCCGCGGGCACCAAACTTTTTTACAAATTCTTCATGCTTCGCGAATCCCCACCAGAGTTCATCTACAGTGGTGGAGGCGCCCGTCACTCTGTCCGTTCCGTGGTTCCAAGTGTTCTGGCAGTCAGGTCCGCGCGTTCTGACCACCTCAGGCTGTGCTGCACTTCCCTGGCTCTGGTCCCCCGCTGGCCCCTGGGGTGCTGGTGCTCGCAGGGAGTGGTTCAGCCTTCTTGTCCAGCCTGGCGTGGCCCCTGGCGGTCTGCATCCCATTCCTCTGGCGCCAGGTGGCGACAAGGTAATTCCCGTGCCTGGCGATCTCGCTCCCATGGTACTCGCACGTTGCAACTTCCCAGCCGCCTCCGCAGCTGGCAGCTTCCACCCCTCGGCGCAGCCCAGCCCCGGCGCAGCTCCCCTCGGCGGTAGGATTAGTCTGCTTGCTCGGCGCGCGCGCGCCGGCAATTAGGGTGCTCGCGGCCCGTGCTACTCTTCTGACGCTGTTGGCGCGCTCGCCTGCAGCTGCGACGACAAAAATAGCCACCAGACTGGTCACACCTGGAGTACGACGGCCTGCCACCGTCTTCCCCCGCCGCCCCTGCCTTGCGCACGAGGTCGTCGGGAACCCCCCCCGACCCTGGACGCAGGTCTGCGGGCCTTCCTTTCGTCGCGGCCACGCTGGTTGCGCCCGAGGTTCGCCTGCTTGCCTCTCTCTATTTCGGGGATACCACAGAGCCCCTGGGCCCGCGGCTGGCCGTGAGTCCGCTGCCGCTGCCCACCCGGGGTTGACGGACATCCGGTCCTCCCCCAAGTCGCCTTCCCCAGGGTCTGCTCCTGTCCCTGGCGTTGGCTCTCGCCGCCTCCTTCGCAGGCGTGTGGCTTCCTTCCGCTGGTTCTCCGCATCTGCTGCCTCTGGGCCGCCCTGGCGCTGCCTTCCCCCTGTCCCCCCGCCCGTGGTGACGCTACCGTCGCTTCCACGCCCCTCGCTCCGACCCTTGTCGGCGTTTGGCGATCCAGAGCCTACTCCGTTGAGCGCCTGTATGTCGCTGATTGACGTTCTCTTCTGTTGCATCACGGCAGTCTTTGAATACGTGGACTTCATGAATTTCGCCATTTTGGTGCTGCACCTCGACCAGTGGTTCCTCCTGGTCCACCGCGTCTCTTGTGCCAGCGTAGCTCGCTCCTGTGTGCTCTTGTGCGAAATTTAAATCGTTGTTTGTTAGCCGCGTTTCTTGACGGCGCCTGGCACCCCTGCGCGCTCGCGAACCAAAAGAATCCCCACCAGACCGTTCAGAGACCCTGACCTTGAGAGCTGACGCGGAAAAGGGGCGAAGATACATATCTAGTGAAACAGAGCGAGCAACCAGGGTGAACAGAGAGATCTCTGGGAGCAATGGGGTGGCCTTGGAAGGCCTCTTCGGGCCATCCCTGGGGGCCGCGTGGGAGCGAGGGGAGGAGGAAGACGACGACGACGACGGAAACGCCCTAGGACGACAACGACGATCAGGAAGAGGAGGAACAAGAACAGGAGGACGATGAGGGCAAGGACGAGGACGAAGACGAGGAGGAGGACAACGGCGACGAGGATCCATGGAGCCATCTTGTGTGGATATGGATTAGGACGAGGAGGACATCGATAAGGATGAGGGGCACGAGGACGTCGAGGATGATAACGAGGATGATAACGAATACGAGGACGAGGAGGACGAGGAGGACAAGGACGAGACAGATGACGAGGGGGTGCGACGAGGAGGAAGAGGAGGACGAGGATGACGCGGACGAAGACGATGAGGAGACAAGGTAAAAGGAGGGCGAGGACTCTGGCAGACATCTTGGAGTCTTCTGGAGGCTCCCTCGCGGCTCATTTGGGGTCCTCTTGGAGCCCTCTTGGGGCTCTCTTGGGGCTCTCTTGGGAGCCCTGGAGCGCCTCTTGTGGCCA